TAGGGAAAGCTAGAAATTAAGTTGTGGTTTTCTCACTTGGGCATCCCTGCTTTTACTCCCTAAATTGTAGTACTATTTATTATACATTCTTCCAACTTTCATAGCTTAACATAAATCCCCTTAGCATGGCAGGTACTCAATGGCTATTCATTGCATTAATTGTTTTCTCAATAGTTAATTAAGTAAAGAGGACAAGAGTTATGATCCATAGTCTGTTGAACAAGATCTTGCTGATATCAAAGGAAAAAAATCAAAGGTAAAGCATAATTGCCCGACAAAGTCAACTCAGACCACGTAATAACATTTTAAAGGTTTGTTACTCAGATACTGGGACACTAGACAGGCAGTCAGGTTGGAGTAGGGTCAAATGGATTCTAGTCCCTTCATTTACTTAATTAGTTTCTAATCAGTGGAAACTACAGTTTTCAATTACTAAGACCGGTTCAAATAAGGCTTCTCCTCACAATCTTTGAAGACTGTGTATTTACTCTGGATTGTTTTCTCAAAATATAAGGTATAAATAACTTATTTGCACATTAAGTGTAACATCAGTTCTGTTATTTGACTGCACCAGGCAACTTGCTGCCCCTAGGAAAGTCACTTGACCTTTGGAAACAGAAATAGTATCTGTAGTATTTGAAAGATAAAAGTGGGTAAGAGAAAGAAGATACACAGAAACTCTGCGAAACAGCCTAGGATGTCAGAGAAATCAAAATCCCCCAGGCCACTTAGAGGCGGCTGTACTTTCGGAGTCTACAGACTGCTCTCATCAGTGTTCTAATTCTATGAATACTGTGGGTTTGTTCCCCAGTTTTACTTCGTTATGAAGGCACTGTCTTTAAGACAGGGGTCCTTTCTGGCTTCATCTACCTAGAGCACCTTGGTGCTCAAAGTAGGCTTGGGTAGGGGGAACAGATGTATCCTATGGTATCACGATATCGCTATGGTTTCCTGAAAGAGGAACCACCACCTTATGCTTCAGGAAGTGGATTTGGGGTACTGATAGCCCCTCGCCCACCTCAGGTAGAGTGGAAGATGCCCTCGACAGTTCCACTGATGTTGAGGCCTCCCAGAACCAGGGGGTCCTCTGGGACTAAGGAGGCATCTGATTTCACTGGCCTTTACAGACACTGTCCCACTCTTACTCCTAGGTGCTGACTCCCTGGTGTGACAGTGTAGGTGAAGGGGGGTCAACTTTGAAAAGCAAGGTGTGTATCCTTTGAAGCATTTTGCCTCTATGTCAACCTCCCAAATTATGTGACCTGAAACCCCACGTAGGACTTTTAAAATAAGAAAGCAGTACAGACTGCATCCAAAGACACTTGTTTTCAAACGTGTCCAAAAATTAAGATATAGGATAAAAATATCTAGCCTGGACATCATAATAAGATGCTGTTTTCTTCTTAATATATGAAGTAAAATAGCATAAAAAAGTCAGAAAGAGGAGTATAAAAA